TGCGTCTTTCTTATAAGTCTTAGTTAATCTACAGTAACTTTGCCAGTTAAAGTAAGTATTTGTGAATTTCATTTATTTTGTTAACCATAACGTTTTGATATAGTTGCAAAATCTCAATGGTTGATTGCTTAGGAGTTCCTTAAAATTGTATAGGTTAAGTCAAAACAAGTTTCAGAATTACCTCGTAGATTATTTTTAATCTCCCTTGTTTCCGAGGAAAATATGTTGGTCCTGGGAGACTCCATATCGTCTACCAGCAGCCACTTCAAGCATAGGGCATAGTGAATGCTTTCATCATCTTCCTTTTGGATGTGTAGGTATAAGTATTCCATTCCGTGTTTTAAAGTGTTATGTGTTTATGTTTTAAAGAGAACGCCGGCTAAGACTGAAAAACAGCACTATGCTGAGGCGTCGCCCTTTTCATCGACAGTTAGTATAGAATTCAGAGTAGCTCATAGTTTATTAATACCATGTGTATATAAAGTAATATACACATGGTATTTATATATAAACATCATGTGATGTTCTATACAATATTCTACATAACATGTGTGTTTCATGAATAGTCATATTTATTTATTTTTACGTGACAGTTTCCAGACTTAGGGTAAATTCAAATTATACAGGTATACATGATAATACAAATAATCTCAATACAGAGTACTAAAAAAACCGACCTCAAAAGTACGTGGAATTATATAGATTTTAAGACTTTCGTGGCTATTCACTAAATGATTATCACTAATTTCAGGTTTCTTACCACGGTATGACTTCTTTTTATTTTCCCGATATTTCGGAACGGTTGCACGCTCCATGATCACGGGTTGACTGGACGGCGGTAGATGACAGCTTTAAGAGCAGACATATCTGTCTACCCTCTTACGATGTCGACGACATATAATTACCATGTTTTATTGAAATCGGTTACCGGGTAGTTCGCAAACCCAGACCATCCCCTAGTTCGCCAGTAAAATATAATAAAAATCTGTTCTCACTTCTCAAAGTATATTGAGAGAGACAAACGCCTTGAATTGGAGAATAGCAAAATCAACCATTAAATTAATTGCTGCTTATAATAAAATTTAGGCGCTATTTATAAAAATTAATCTTCATGCGTGAACAGCGCCCTTAGAGGTGGATGATTTTCTTCAAAATTAAATGGGACCACTATGGAGATACCCTCTTTCCAACGAAAAAAGAATCATGAAAATCGGTTCACCAATACCGGAGTTATCGCGTAACATACATACAAATAAAAACATACAGTCGAATTGAGAACCTCCACCTTTTTTTTTTAAGTCGGTAAACTACTTATCATCTTGACTGTTTTATAACAAAATTTTATTTTTGAAGCCATAGATTCGTTAATTCTTCAAAAAGAGTGAATTTTCCGAAAAAAGATGTTTTTGCTTGAACGTAATTAGTTAGCCAAATTAATTTTATGTTTTATGACTTCAATTACTGTATATTCTAAAGACGTATTGGACTACACGTCAAAGTTGCAAACAGACGCTAGACGCTAGGCCAAGCACTTTGAATGGTACGGGCGGACGTAGCCAATAGATCCACGCCCGTGGCCTTGAGAACGCTACGAGAGTCTACGCACACTTCATTTACAGGCACTCACGCCCGCCGCCCCTCCGAATAAGACCTTATAATCATGGTTAATGCTGGAAATGAAAAAGGTTTGTTCTACGTGCACTAATGTACTGATAGTGACTGTGATAAGGAGTACCATAAAAAATAAATGCAGACCGATGTCAATATTGGCTTCGTAGTTAGTTAATATCAAAACTTTCCCCTAATAAATAAAGTGATAAATAATGCAGCATACCGTATCAATTTAACAGTTAAACCGTCGAATTCAAACACTCCGAAACCACAAATTATAGCTTGGTTACATCGACATAATATTCCAAATAACACAAACTCATTAAAGATCGATTTATATAACATTATTAAAAAAAATAGAATGATATTCGGAGTTTGCTATTGACCGCATATATCTAAGAATATTGCTCTACATTTTACTATTGCCACCATATAAACCGATTTTGAATGCAATTGAAAACATTTGGTCTCAAATTAACTACACGTTATTAAACATGTATATTGGAAAAAAAACATGATTGGATCGAGAGAAAGGAAAAAGTATGTGATTATGCAATAAAATGTGAGGATGAATATACAAAATTTGAACCATACATGACCAATATTATAACAAATACCTGTTCGAGCAGCGCAGAAAGTGATTGTTCCATCGATGGCGAACATAAAAACAAACAATAAAGTACGTAGTTTTGAATTCAAATTATTATAGATGACAAATCTAATACTTAATTGGCATGGAAATTAACATCCGTGTTTATTCGGAAACCCGATGATTGCCGAGAGGAGTAAAGATAATAAATATAATATAAATATAATAGAAGCACTATATATAAGAACATACGGATTTATTCCATAGGCTATAATGAGTTCCATTCTCGTGGACCCCCATTAACGTCTTATGCACCCCCTATTTTTTTCCTGAAATTGACCACTTGTTGACGAGACTGGATTCCTTGGTGGTCAATACAGACCATTTTGGGGAACACCTGGAGGTCGATATAGACCACTTTGGGGTTAAGTGTTTTAGACAGACTTGAAATTGAACTATTGCTAAGAATGTGTTTGTTAAAATCACCTGCAACAATAAGCTGCATGTTTTCTTTTATTAATTTATTTAGCATCCCTTTTATTACTTTGTATTTCTTTTATTATGTTGTATAGTTCCCATGAGGGTCGAGCGGTTGGGGTAACGCCACAATATGAACTTTAATTATTTTGTGCTGAGAGTATCTCCTGGACATCTGTCGAACTTCATGAAGGAGGTGTTTTGGGTGAAGGACATATCATCAATGTTTCGGAGCCCGGTTACCGGACACCCGCGTTGGGTTACACGTCGTAATCCATACGTGTAAATAATTAGTCTTTTCTTACATTATTATGTATGTTAGTCTATAATGTATGTATTTATAGATCTAAGTAACCAGATTATAAATAAATTTAAAAAATGTTCTTTCTACATATTTCATGTTACTTCTTATGAATGTAGTTATTCCGCCATGCGAAGCGTGATGTCTATTTTTGCAAAAGTTGGCAATGCATAGTTCTCAAGATGTATTAGTTATTTGTAAGTTTTAGACAAGTAAAGAACGCGATTTGATCCCATTAATTGAAAGATACAATGCTAGAATATTTATTATTTTGTACTATATAGAAGTATGTTGTTGTTAACGTTAGTTTTTTAAATTTACATGTCGCACTGTTAATACAATAACGTATTAACTTAAAAAGTGTATTTTTTCAGAATCGATGAAAAAGGAATTACTCACTTCCCGAGAAAGATCATTAAAATTTAAATAATTGTAGGTTAATTAAATAATTGTAGGTTAAAGTTTATTACAGGCATCTTAACAGTTTTCTACTTGCCTTATATATTTAACAATAAAAGGGAAAAAATAATTTCATATTTTTGAGTAAGGACTGTTTTCTAAGCTAGTTACAAAAAGTTTGTCTCATTTTGAGTTAAGTAGATATCTTTTAAATGTTTCTTACAATATTCTATCGACCATTTTATTGACGTGTAGAAAATCAAATTTTACATTCAGCAATGGTATAATCTTGAATTTCACGAATTTTATATTTTATGAGTTACAACACTATTGTAATCGCAGTGCAATTTGTTCTAGTTGTAGTAATGAGGGCAAATCTTAATATTCAATATTCTAATATCGACACATTATGGACCCTTTCAGGCAAAACATAGTAGAAACAAAGACAGTAAGTAGTAAGAATGAGATATCCCACGTTCAGATGGTCCTTAGGTGGAACGAATACAAAGTAAACAGACGGCAACCACGGAGGAAAGCTAAAAGTAAACGTCCTGACGTTTTAACCACTGCACTTTTTTTGCAGTATTCGATGTGCGTTTGTATGTGTGTGCGTTGTTTTGCAGGACAAACACCGTGTGAATGGTTCTATATCTAATGCGCATATATTGTTTATTGCGTTCGGATTTATACTGCAAAAAAGTGCAGCCCAATGCCATGTGAACGGGGGGTAAGGCAACCAGCGTTCATGCCTAACGTGAAAGAAATAACGGACAAAATCGGAACAGTATTAAAAAAGTACAGTATAAAATTGTGTTTACGCCGTTTTCTAAGGTCGCGGGGCATGGGAGATCACCTAAGGATGTAATCCCCTTTCAATCTCCGGGCGTTTACAAGACTGATTGCAGTCGTGGGAGTTCCTACATGGAGCACATAAAACGCACCATAGCGGAAAGAGTCAAAGAACATATCACGGCTGTTAAGAACCATCAGCTCAATTAGTATGTCATAATAATAATAATAATAATAATAACGCACACACTCAACATAGCCCCGCACTAGGGAAACCCTGTGTCGCGGGTGCCATGGACACACATAGACAACCACAAATTACACCCAAACTCACGAGAGAAATAAATGTAGGCCATACAAATATTTCTCCCGGCCCGGGAATCGAACCTGGGACCTCTGCGTGGCAGTCCGGCATGGTAACCGTTCGGCCACAGAGGCAGTTAATATGTCATAGCAATCATTCACTTCATAATGCCAAGATTCTTTCTACAGAACGTCTCATCACAATAGTAGATTATTTTAATTAAAAAACACCGTAATATCAACCGAGAAGACGGTTTTAAGTTTTCAATCGTCATGGGATCCAGTTATCAGCAAATGTAACCGACATCAAATATCGTCCGATAAATCGCCGGATGTCGTGAGTGTTGTGTTGGTCTAGTGACAACTCTAGTGCATAAATAAATAATGAAGATCAAGTGCGGGTAGTAAGAAAATCTCGCACGGCTAGAAGATTACGACACCCGTCTCTTCAGTCCCTTCGAGACTATGGACGTTGCAATACGTCCGAAACGTCGAGGTAATTAAAATATGTTTTATACATGATTAAGTCCCGAATTAAAAATCAAGTAATTACTTTTATCTAGTAAATAAAAGTAAATGCGAACTCACCAAGAGCATCAAGTTCGGCAGCTAGTTCATCATCATCGATCTCAGGCATGCCATACTGCCGGCCTAAGGCTTCCTGTACTTCGTCTGCTTGCTCCATCATGTCTGCCAATTCGTCATTAACATCCTGGAACAACCCAATAATATTAATTACTCTCATTTCCATAACCTATAATAAAATTCTATTCATTGTACATTATTATCATAAGCAACCTATATGTATTTCACTGTTAAACAAAGGTTGGCTCTGAGGTTTTAAGACATTCAAAATGATTATAAACATTAATGAAATTTGTATGTGCCAGTAAATTTGTAATAGTTAACAGAGAAAATGCATTACAATGACAATTTCACAATACAATATGCAGCAATAAGGAAAATCTTGATACATTGCAATACATCAATTTGTTTGTTATAATTATTATTAGAAAGATCGAACACTCAGAAAAAATTCCTTCTTGTCTTTCCTGTATCCAACTTTGTACAGCCATCAGGGAGCAGTATTGGGTAGGGAGATGCAGAGGAGTTTCAACCACCTAGTAGGCAGAATCTACACTCTCAATGACACTCACTGAAAGCAAGTTTATTCTCTTTACCTCAATATTATCAATGTTAATCTTTTTAAACTCCTTCTTCATCTGGGTAACACCGTCCTTCATGGCAGCAATGGTGGAATGCGTGTCTTTGAGAGTTTGCGTTGCGTAATTGGCTTGCTCCATGTTAAATGACTGAGCACGAAGGTTCTCTAGTTGTTGTTCATACCTGTAATCATTTCATAATAATTTTATCAAGACACATAACCGCATGGAGTTCAGTAAAAAATAAAAACAGGCATATGGATTGAAATGTGTTGAAAATACCATATCTAAAAAACCCTTCAGTTCTCAGGCTCTTTAGTCTCTTACTTATGAACATGAAGTGTGCTTTAATTCAGTTACACCTTTTTGTTCCCTAACTCTAAGTCAGTGGACCTTTATTGGCCATCCATTAGAACCAGTATTGGGTCGACCGCGGGCCCTTCACACCGCGGCCGAGTGATTAAACTAGGCCAAATATCAATTTCCTACCAACAGCTAGCAGTCTTTCTCACTTTTAGTACAGTTCGGCACATTGCGTGACAAAAATGTTATAATTGAATATTTTTCCTAGCAGGCGAGGTTTGACTTGAATATCTTGGGTCAAGGATCAAAATTTGGGGTTCATAGCAACCTGAAGTTTTTTTTTTAATTTTATGATACCAAATGAGTGGACGAAGAAATTGTGCGCCTAATATTAAGTGACACACCTGTCCCTTGCAAGCAACTCAGAGCTTTAAATCACAAAGATTTAGGGACTCTGCCTTTGTACCTGTCACTCTGAGATATACGTTGGCAAGTTCCGAGTCCTGTAATTTCACCAAAATTATATTTTTATGTTAGTTTCAAAATGCATGCAAAGTTTGTGGAACAAAAGCGACGCTCTCTTCGCTTCTACTATCACTCCAATTATGAAAATAGAGCAAATGCAATTGGCAATAACATGAAGTATGGTACTTTCATACAGTGACAGAAAACCTCATGAGTTTTATATTTGTATTGTAGACGGTACTGGCCAACTATTTAGCTTCAAAAGCACAGAATCTGTGTTTAATAATTAACTTATATTGAACTACATGAAAAAGTTACTGGCTTTGCCTGTGGTTCAAACGTCACAAAAAAACCATTACCATAAAGAATAACAATTATTTCTTTTATTTTTTATCCTGATAAGAATAAAATAGGATATAGAACTGATATCTATTCACCATAACAGCTAATAATATAACAATAACTTTGAACTTTCTATTGCTTTTTAATTATTTGTAAAGCCGTTAGCCAAATTCCTCATTAAAAAAAACACATTCTAAAAAAACAGAGATAATATAAACTATCTAAATTTAAGAAACTACAAGCGTTTCATACACAAATTATCCATAAAGAAAAATAATAGTTATTATAAAGGAATCGTACATTTTTTTCTGCTTTAATACCCTCATAGCCTTTTGTTTTACTGCGTTTTTAGCGGGACCTTCTCGCATTTTATTCATTTGATCTTTATACTTCCTCAATTCAGACTCCAGTTTCGTCACCTTCTGTTCAATGTTATCTGCTCTGCTGTCCACCTAAAGAATTACAAACATCATGATTACGATTACATTAATATCGATGAATCATAGACTGGTACCAAATACACCTTAGTACGAAAACATGATCATGTAAGTCACTCACATTCTGAATACAATCATTTATGCTGGGACCAGGTTCTTTGGGTTTTCCTCTACCAAATAATCGGTTCATTGTGACTTATTAATAAAGAATATTTCTTCAAAAATCGAAATACTTTTTTGTAGATACACACTGACGAAATAATTTTTACTTCACAACAAATTTGACATTTGAAATTCGATGTTGCAATATTACAAACAATATATTTTACTATTACAACGACAGTGGCAAACTCCCTTTAACTCTGCGCTTTTATTTTCTTAAGCTCATTGATTTATAGGTTACAGGATCCTTATAGCAACAAAAAAGGTCGAGTTTTGGTATGTACTCTTATGGTCGTATTCCAGAACTTTACTCAATGCTCAAGTCAGGATTTGAGTATGGTTTAAAGCATTCAAAATCATACTCAAGTCCCTGCCATTAGAGTCGTATTTCCAGTGCTTGTGTTTTAATTGCAAACCTGACTTGAGCATTGAGTAGAGTTCTAGAATACGACCCTTAGCTCTCAGCTATTACGGCTCACTTCTTCCGCTGTCCCGATTTTTTGTCCCATACAATGAAATGCTCCGTGAAAATCCTTTTATAAAACTGATACGAAAAAAATTTATTTTATATTTAAAAATTTATTAAATTTTATTCATTTTAGAACCTTACTACTTACTATTTAGAACCTTTATTGACATATTTTCTATCTTTGCGCTAACGGAAATATTAAAGAAATAAAGTGGTCAACCATTCTGACGTCAGGATGGCTGGACCACTTTAAGTTTTTCATGGTTTTAGGAGTATATGATTTACTTTTTTTTTTTATATAACTATTTACTACCTAATTTTTACCTAAACATACTTTTTTTTCACTATTTTAGGAAGCTCCTATAAAGAGTTATTAAAAAAATAAGAAAACGACGTTAGCCATCCTGACGGATACCGAAATAGCGACTTTTTATCTGGCTTGTCAAATTTCAAAAACTCGACTATGGTCGCGCTGGGGAATAAGCTTAGAGGATGGAAAAAAGGGAATAAGGCACGTCTGTACTTGACTTTGACAGACGAATATGATGAATTGTGATTTTCAGAAGTTTTAAATTATAGTTTTAATTTTTAGTTTTTTAAAGATAATTTTAAAAAAGAAATAGAAGCTTTAATGAAATAGTAAAGATGTTTACTTTCGGAAAGTAACTCACAGCTGAAGACGCAGTATGGTCTATGACCCAAGCCTGTCCTTTTTATGTTTTTGGACGTATAGAACAAAAAAAAGGAAAAAATGTGAGGTTATTTTAAATATATACGTACTTTGTTTTGATTGAGAAAAACCCTGAATGTATCAGTAAACTGACTCTGGTGACGATCGCTATAATATTTTTACAAAATTGACACCGGCCCAAGTCTAGTGACCGCCGTTAAGGAAAAAATAATAACTTTAATATGAAAATTTTTTAATATTAAAATTTTTTCAGACCGCAGTTCATGACGGCGATTATTACTATACTAATGACTTCTACACCTGTTATCCACAATTTGGTGTGTAATTTTATTTCTGTTAATTTATTTCTTAGATAAAGTTTTTCACTGTGCTACGTTAGGTCTTGGTTGTCGTTGCAATCTTCCGGCAAGCATGTGTTTAGCTTACATTAGAAGTAAATTGAAAATACGTTATGGTCCTTTTTATATTATACTGAAACCCCATTATAATTCTATTCTAGAAAATATACGTAAGTAATATATATAAGTATCGATTAATTAACACCTACAAATAATTTCATGTATCATTACTTCTAGTGTCGTAGTATTTAGTGTTTCATATGTATGCAGCTGAACGGTGGTGCTGCGTCGTTTGTGACGCCCGCATGCGAATGGGACATTGCACCTATAGTCGCCACTCAGAAGAGACCAGTGCACAACTATGCTGTCCTGGTACTTAATAGGCCTTTGTCTCAGAGTCAGAACTTTTTGAGAAACCTTTGGAATGATGGTAAGCCTTCCTTATAAAGTAGTAGTAGTCTAGTGCAGAAGTTTCTGAACTTTTTTGTCTTGTAGGCCTTGTGACAATTTATTTCTGTTTTTGTTATATTTTATAATACTAAGTGATGGGTCAAACAAGATATGCTCCTGATGGTAAGAGGCATGCCTGTCCATGACAGTTGCAGTGCCGCTCATAGCTTTAAATAGCAAAGATCTGAGAGGCACTGCCATAGTGCACATTACCCGGAGACATAAGTTGACAAGTCCCATGTAATTTCACCAGCAGCACTTACCCTTCAAAACCAGAATGCAATAATGCTCACATTACCGTTTGGCGGCAGAAATAGGCAAGGTGGCAGTAGTTCCCTAGATGAATTCTTTCATAATGACCTCTACTGCTACTAACCAACACCCTGACTTGCCTTAGGTGGCAGTAGTTCCCTAGATGAATTCTTTCATAATGACCTCTACTGCTACTAACCAACGCCCTGACTTGCCTTTGTAATATGAATTTATTACAAATTCAACACCTTCAACTGTATGATAATATGTGTTAATGTTCTAAAACAACAAAAATACCTAGAAATGACTCGTCACATTGAAACAATCGTAAAACTCTTAACAAACGAAGCACCGTAGATAAGAGTCCCTATTTCAACAATTGTTGCACTTCATGGTTACTGTAATCAAAAAATTGCAAATGCATAGCCTAAAATTAACTACAAGGAACACCAATTGACGCCTACGAGTTGAGGATGTAAAATCTTTTATCAAATAAGTATTAAAATATTGGCGTACTTCTCATCTCTGAATCACACCTTACTTCATAATCTGCCCCTAGGATTCCTGGGTATACTGTGTTTTTCACACCCAGATGGCACAGCTCATGCAGGCAGCATGATACTGAGAAACGCAATGGATCCCTACTATATTTATGTATATTAGCCTTGTGTCGCCCATTGCACACATACCAACTTAAAAACACAAGGAAATAAACAAATTAATAACAGAAGACAAGAACTGTAGCAAGAGATGTTTGTTTATATGTGGTGTGCATAATAAAAATGTGCTAAGGCTATTGTTACTGTTTTTTTTGTATATTTTGTTCATGAGTGTATTATTTAGACATTTTTGTATTGTATTTATTTTAGCTTCAGTAAGAGTAACAGTAGATGGTGGAACAGTACAATGGGACAAATTTATAAATAATTTGCCTGAGGATGCTCAGAAAACTGCCAAATTGCCGGACATGATTACTGGAGATTTTGATTCGATATCAAACAACGTCATGAATAAATATAAAAAGAAAGGTTGTAAGGTGAAACTGTCACTTTTATTTTATTTATTATAAGTGTACGTCATTATAACAACATTGCAACATATTCAATTCATTCACTCAATATTCAGAAACAAATTTCTTATAATATGCTGCATGATGTCTCGTGACTTAGTCGTCCAAGTCTTGCGCCTGGTAAGTGACACGTCTATCCATAGCAGTTGTAGTGTCACTCTGTGTTTTACATCGAAAAGATCTAATGGGCACTGCCGTTGGGCTTGTCACTCTGAGACATAAGTTGACGATTATCACATAATAGCCTGTGATTTCACCAGCACCCTTACCTTTCCAAACTGGAATGCGCAGAAATAAGTAAGGTGGCAGTACTTCCCGAGACGAACTCTTTCACAAGGAGCTCCACTGCTACTAGACAATAAAATAAAATGGTCAAAACTTGCTGGGCTTTACACTTTAGATTTAATTAATCTTTATAGCACTAGTGAAAAGGACAATGAAAAGTGTAAACATTAAAATAACTCTTCTAAAATGTTAAGTTTATTGAATATAATGAAGTTTTTGTACTACTATGATATTCAATTATTTTTTGTGAAATTACTGTGAGTTAACGTGCCAGACTCGGCATGGCGAGGTCGCTGGTTTGAGTCCAGCTGGATTGCAGAATATTTTTTTGTGTTCAATCTTTGTATTAATAAAATTATAACTCTTCTAAAAGTTCAAGTTGTAGAGCGTGAAACAAAAACTTGATTTAATTTAGTTTGCAATTTGATCTTGTCATGCCAATACTTTTTGCAGATAGTTCACACTCCAGATCAAGATTACACAGATTTCACAAAAGCACTAGTGGAATTATACAAATATTGTCAAGAATCCAAAACAGAGGTAAATTTTCTTCACACTATACGAGTCTCTATAGTATGTAGCATAGTTGTTTAAGACTGGTATCCCTGTCATGGCAACAGACACTGGTCCATGTCCAGTTAAATCAAAGTAATTATATTATTATTATATTAATATAATTATTTATTCAAATTAAGTTGATTGTTTTAAAATTGTTTGATTTGTTGATTTGTTTTGCTTTTTTATTTTTTTTTACTTTTGCTTTGTCTTTTTTCTATGCTTTGTATATTTTTGTGTGGTGGTGTTGTAATAAATGCATTTTATTCTATTCTATTTATATCCGATAAAATAGTTTAATTTTAAATTTAATGGAATTCTTGACTATAATTATATTTCAATACACATCTTAATCCTTCTTTTTCAGATAGAATATGTGGTTGCATTAGGCCAAGCCTCAGGGCGTCTAGACCAAGTTCTAAGCAATATACAAACATTGTTCCTTGTGAGAGACAAGCACTTACTTAGTCCAAATACCAAAGTTTACTTGATATCAGATGACGCGATATCCTGGCTGCTGACACATGGCAGTCATCTTATAAAGATTCCTAAGGAGACGTTGCAGAGCCACAAATCATGGTGTTCCTTGGTTCCTATTGGTGAAAGTTGTACGGATGTTACTACCTCTGGTTTGAAGTGGGATCTAGGTAAGGAGATATTGTATTATTGATCATAAGCTATTTATTATCAAAGCGTAGAGGCAGATATTTTAATACCTATTGTAGCAGTAGAATGAATTTGTCCAGCGAAGTCCTGCCACCTTACTTATTTCTGTCGCCAAGCAGTAATGTAAGCATTTCTGCGTTCCGATTTTGAAGGTTAAGGGTGCTGGTGAAATTACTGGCACATGGAACTTTTCAAATTGTGTCTCAGTGCGCACGACTTGTACGTCCCGTCACTGGGACATAAAGTTGACAAGTACCATGTGCCTCTAGTTTCAGCATTCCTTTCCGTTCAAAACCGGGATGCTCATTGCTTTCCCCTTTTCACTTTGGTTACAGTAAACTAAAGAAACAAAAAAAAAACAGTTCAACATTCAAGCCATACATTTGCATGTCGATAATGACTTATCGATAGATTATGGTACAACACTAAAGAAATCCGCCATTTGTAACTTTTAAATTTTGGTTATATGCACGTTGATTCTGTAGTTAGGGCATCTCCTCTCTTTTATTTTTTTTCCCTCCTCTAAGGGTTATGTCGAGATGACGACTAAAACAGCCACATTTTTTTAGAACTGTCATAGCTTGACAAATAAGATCTCTTACTGACAACTAATGGTATAGATGCACTGAACTTTCTCTGCGTTAGCTCGAATAGACGCCTGTACCTATACCACAAGTTTACTGTGACAGTTATCGCTAGCGACTTCGTAAATTACTACACAATTTTGTATGGCAAATTGTACAGCGCTCCTAATGGTCACAAGAAGAAGCAATATTTTATATAAAAATATTTTACGCGGTCGCTAGCGACAACTGTCACAGTAAACTTGTGGTAGAGAAACTGTTTGCCTTTAGTTTACAGTTTTGACCCATAATGTAGGGGTGACTATAGTGGAGGTCACAAGTATCTGGATCCATTTTAATTATTTTTTTTTCCCAACCCATTTTCAAATTCTAATTGTCTTATTCTGTGATACCTGCACTACTCTGGGTTGTCATTATACATTATATATACGTACATTTAAAGAATATTTCAATTGTTCATTTATTTAAATCTGGTCCTTTTTTTTCAAATTGGTCAAGCAGACACCATTTTGTATCCAATTAGTAACCAATTAGGTCTTAAATTAATTGCGTGATTTAATTTCAGACCAGCAATCATTAAAGTTCGGCGAGATTGTCAGTACATCAAATGCATTTAGAAACAAAGAAGAGGTGACAGTAGTGTGTAGTCACACACTCTTATGGTCTATGCGAGTACCACACATCTCTGGTAAGTGTTGTATATCAACAGCCAACATTGAAAATAGTTTAAGAAGCAAATAGCAGGTTGCGATAGACACGCATAATTTTTTCTTATTCATGTTAATAAACCATAATAAGACAAGTGGTGTAACTCCATACAAACGTAGCAACGCGGCTTGTATGGACGCATACATTCGCATAATCTCGTAGTGCACTCCCGTTGCATAGCGCGCATTGTCACACGCTTTTCATTGTATAATTGAAGTTGAGTGTTTAAAAAATGACATCAATTAGACGCCTTTATTGTTACGTTTAAGGGTAATTTTTTTGCAAATTATGTTTACAACCTGTAACTGTACAACTGTACAATGGACAACCATTGTTTTTTTTTTCGCTTAAGGCACCTACCATATCAGAACCGCTGTCGCCAAAACTCACACATTCATGATTTGAAACACTATGATGAAATGTTGAGTGATTGGTCATAGTTTCAAATTTAAAAAGAAATAAATCGTCGACTGTTAATCTAATTTAAACTTCATCCTGTTGGCATATCGTCGAAAATTCAATACCGTCGATCGATACCTATTGATGCAAGTTTCGTTTCGATTCTATAATGAAATTTCAATTAATGTGCTGCCATCTAGCGATTAGTAACTGAACGACGACAAATTCGAGATGTTCAGTAAGTTCTCCAAAAAAGAAGCGATTACATTGCAGCGGTACAAGGTTTCGTGTCGTGTAACAAAAAAAAAATTGCAATATTCACAAAATTGAAAATTTATGAAAATAAAATAATACTTAATGATGATATGAAACTTATCCATTGATAATATTACTAGTGTGACGATTATCATTCCTAGACTCCAAAGTAGAGAAATATTTTTTTCTACGATTGATGATTGATTGATGATTTTCGAGGTTTTGCGGGCGAGAATTGACACGACTATAACCTACAAAGCGAAGCTTAATGCCATAAGGCTTTCTCTACCAGTCAACCATTGGGCCAAACAGAAAAAAAAACACAATAGGTTGGTGCTACACTTAAACAAGAAAAACCATATACTAGAAAGCTAATCGATAATTTGTATGGTATAAATACATAACATAATATAAACATACTTATTATACATACATAATAAACCTACATATATATTATAATAATCAATAATATAATGTATGTACCCAAAGCAACATTATACAGTCTTGATTTTGACAATTATCAAACAAATGCTTGCGCAACATGCGCTTGAAAAATAATTTGGTCTGAGCTTCTCTTACATGGAGCGGGAGCGCGTTCCAAAGACGGATGGCGTGAAGGGTAAAAGAATTAGACAAAAAATCAGTGCGGTGAGAAGGAATAAAGAGCTTAAGGCTACGGGAAGATCGAAATTCGCATCCCGGCCGAGCGGTTTGAATTTGAAATGAACATTTAAGATAATCAGGTGCAGCCGGGTCGAACAAGATGGAGAAAAAAGGGGTTAAAATAAAAAATTAAAAGTTAAAATTCTTAAGGACCTGCGTTCACGGATGGGAAGCCAATTTAGTTGACGACAAAAAGCAGAGATGTGGTCGTACTTCCGCAGACCAAAACTAAACTTAATGCAGTTGTTAAGAAGACGATGTAATTTGTTCAAAGAGACTTGAGAGATGTTACTGTAACACACGTCAGCATAATCAATCACATGCAACACTAGAGCTTGAACAAGGAGAGTTTTGGTTTGAACGGGAAGAAAGTTCTTAACCTGTATAGAGCTCTTAGTGTGTTTGTAACCCTACGACAAACGTCAGACACCTGGGGATCCCACGTAAGGCCTGTGTCAATAATAAGCCCCAGGTTCTTTACCTGATTTGACAGAGGAATCACTACGTTCTCAAACATTATTGTTGGCACGCACGACATATCACAAGACGAAAAAAGGCGTGAGCTTCCAAGGATGATTATGTCAAGGACACTTGACTTGACACTTGGAAGGGTTGACATTGATACCAAACCTTTGGGACCAAACCGAGATACGGTGAAGGTCGTCATTAATTAATACAATTGCATCACTGATGCCACCGACAATAACCTCGGTATAAAGCTGCAAGTCGTCGGCATACAGGTGGTAAGAACATTTGACGCTGGACGTAATCAAATTTAAGAAAATAGAAAACAAAAGAGGAGAGAGAATTCCACCCTGAGGTCCCTAGAAGTGAGTTTACACCAATCTGAGAACGAGCGATCAATACGAATCGCATGTTGGCGATAAGACGCGAACCAATCAGTTACCGTTAATGAGATGTTTAGGTGGTCTAAGGTGGCAAGGAGAAGGTCATGATCCAGGACGTTGAATGCATTGGAGAAATCTATTAGGACCAGCACAGTAAGTAGAGTACAGTCCATACCCCTCCTTACATCCTCAACAATCTTTAGCAAGGCAGTAGAAGTACTATGACCTGGTCGAAAACCTGATTGAAACGGAGAAAGGATTTGAGGATTGTTTGAGTAAACATAACAGAAAATTGCTTGTGAACGACAGCGTCTAAGACTTTAGACAGAAAAGGAAGAATTGAGATGGGACGGTAATGCTTGAGTAGACTGGGGTTAGTAACTTTTGGAAGAGGGTTTACATGAGCATTTCGCCACAGAGAACGAAAATTATTATGTTGTACTAAATCATTTGTATTAAATCATTATCTTGTACTGCGCACTTTTTGTTAGGTTTTATTTACCCTATAACTGTTTTTGGCACCACAATTCAAATTTGCAGTAGCCACTCATTCCATGCGTGCTTGTTGAATACTGGGATTTGATCTTAAGGCGATGTATTTTGACGCGTGCGTACATTTTAGGAGGTGAGGTGTTCGGGGCCGCTTCTCGCGTCCCGCAATCCCTGCGCTCAAAATTAATATAATTAAAATAAGAACAGGCGGAGAAAATTTGACACAGATTTGACGTTGACAAGCACCCGATGGCGCCTGACGGGGCAGCGGGCGGTTCGGCGTGTCGATAAACCGCTCGGCGATTTTCAAATTTTGGGATAAATGTAAATTTAATAACTATAGGGGCTTCAATAAAGTCAAAATTTAACAGTATCCCTGTAGTATTTAAAGATAAATATCTCCTTATAAAAATTATGTGCAAAGTTACATATTGACTTAGGTGTATCGTATACTTTTTATAAGATCGTTATTTAGTAGTAAATACTTAACCCATGTTATCTAGCAAAACAGTTTTTCCCACTTCTCAAAGTTTTCTTAGTGCTTGCTAAATAATATATTGTAATTTAGGAAGATACCTATCTATCTAGATAGGCATTAGCCAGAATGTACCGCCCGATAGAGGAACGTGTATCCATATTCAATCACATCCACTGGCCATAAGGAATGATTTTGGACAAGCATATAAATAATTATAACTTTTATAAATAATAATGATAATAAAATGTTTCTTTATTTGGGTATACACCCATTAATACATTTAACATTGCAAATTTAATTTCTCGTATGTGTTGAAAGTAACTATCATAGAAAAACGAAAACGCTTTCTCCTGTAAATTTTTCGTACAGCATTTTTGTTGATTGTCGTTGAAATAAGAAGAAATTTACATGAGAGTTTTTTTCAGTCGGTTACTCTTTGAATATTATGCTTTTTAAATATTTATAAAACTTCTTGTCGACCAAATGACACATACGAGGTTTTAAATTTGCAGCGACGATTTATTATATTACATTACATACCCATTAAATTGAATTTTATTAACCGAATATTATTATTATTAATGAAGTAAATAATTGAGAATTACATGAAATTGAATTGAATTTACATTAGAAATAATAGTATAATTATAATTAATTAATTTATATTTTAAAAATGGAGTGGTCGCTTACAAAGTAGCACGTATCGCATACTGTCCTTACAATTAAATAAAAACTATATATATATATATATATACTGTCCTTATAAGTATAAAAAAACCGATCTAAAAAGTTTGTGGAATTACATGTATTAGCCAAGTTTAATTGAAATAGATTCACGGAAAGCGGGTAAAATACAATAAACTGGATTCATCCCCTAACTTGCCACCTTTAGGGGTGGAATATTTGATGATGGTTTGATTCGGACCACTACTGAGGTAACCCCCTTTGTAACAAAATAATCATACCTCCTTTTTTGAAGTGAGTTAAAAATCACAATTAATTAATTTCGAATCTCAATTGTTTTGCAATTGTTTCAGGTCAGTCAAAAGAAATATGAGAAAAACGCGTGATATAACGTGTTGAATGGGTTTATGTAGTAAATATACAAATTAGTATGAAAATGCGTGAATCAAGTGAATTTCAGAACGTGCTGTGTGCGCAAATTAATAATATTACTACATACCGTTTGGCCAGTAGATTAGCCAGGTGTTTAAGTTTTAGAATCTCTTCAATACTTTTGTTCTTATTTATTTATTTAATGTGGTGGAGTAACTTTGCATTGTAAGGGTGGCACCACACTGACGATATATGTTTTCGGTTAGAATGCAATAAAAATGTTGTATATTGTCTGTACAACATTTTTCTTTAGTGTTTCTGTAGTGTTTATCAATTAAAATGATAGTTATTCGTAGTTTCTGTCTTTTCCATTCCTTTGAGCGCGGGTGCGCTATAGGTTTTTATTGTTACTATTTTTATAACTGTGTAGTTGCAGTATGTAGTTGCAGTATGTGTACATACTGCAACTACACAGTTGTTATGAGTTGTTGTGAGTATGATTTGTAAATCATATGTTAACTTAGTTCCTTGTTAAATTATCAAGAGTTATATCAAACTTAAGACTTAAGATGTAAATTCAGCTTTATGTCGCTTGTAATAAGTACGGTTCAAAGTGTCAAGTTTGATATACTCTTGACTGATATACCTAAGTATTGGAGTTTAGACTGACTGCAATTCGACGCCGGAAAGCGATCTTGTCGTATCTCGAAAATCGTATGTCGTATCTCATATTTCGGCGTCGAATTATTCTGTCACAAAAATATACCAAAGCATCGACATCGATGTACCAAAGTGATTCTGTTCTTTTATTTGCTTTTTAGCCTTGATCCTCTTTGGAGGCGTCGCGAGTGGCGCTTGGAAGCAACTGGAAACAGCAGTGTCTTGAGTCTGGGCATATACGCGGGGCCCACTATAAGTTTTCGGAATGAATAAGAAAAAAATACCATAAATGGTCAGAAATGAATCTATTGTTTCTCAAAATATTCTCCGTTATCGTTAATGCGCTTTTTCATACGAATGAACCAATTTTGAAAACATTTATGCCACTCCTCCGTGACAATATCTGAAACATATTTGTCATACTCTTCGACAGCCTCTTCAGGTGATGAAAATCGTTGACCGCGTAACTGGTTCTTAATTTTTCGAAGTAAATAAAAGTCACACAGTTAAGTTAGTGAACAGTTTGTTGTTCACAGCAGTGGACGGGCGACCATCACGAAATTCGTTACTGAGATTCACACTTCCGCGTTGAATTCTGCAAACCAGCTATAAATAGTCGTCTTGCATGGTGCTTCATCGCCGAAAGCAGTTTGAAGCCGAGCGAAGCTACGCTGAGCTGTTAAATTACACTTAAAGTCGTAGAAAATCATACTACGAAAATTTTTACGAGTTAAATCCATGGTGACGAAGACAACCAATTTCTAAAATGACGCCACAATGTAAAAACAAGCGACAGTCAGATGAAACAAACTGTATTAGAATACAGCCAAAGAGTTCCATTTTCAAATGTTGTAATTACTTTTTAAATACTGTTTATGTAAGTGGCCAGTTCCGGAAAATTATAGTGCGCCCTATGTAGTATTTACTACTACAAAGTTACCAGTTGCTTGTATCCAACACTCACAATACATTCAAGTATCCACGTTTGCACTGCGTCTAAGGTGTTATCGCTATCACTCGCCGCACCCGCTCGTTCTTTATAAATATTTTCGAGCGGTTACCTTAATAACTTGAAAAACTTCATATAGCCGCGCCGCGTCCTCCCGCTCCTATTCCTTATTTATGGCAAAACGGTTATCTGTAGTAATGTTTAATTGTAGTTTGATTCGGTTTAATTCGGAATGAATCGGGAATCGATATCGAATCTATACATGATGTGGTGTACATAAAATAAAGATGCGTTACGGCCTGCCCGCCTCGCTTTTACGACGATATCTGTGTGAAACATAGGTACGTATTGCGTTGTTTTATTGAGACATCCATGTCCAAAATAGATTACACGTCACATTGGCGACGAGAATAAAGAAAGTGTCTAAAGACAGTCTTAATGATATTTCACGATGTAGTCGACGTTATCAGCTTCAACTAAGAGTTCCGAAGGAAACGTAATAAACAAATGAACAGGACTGAAATAAAACTCATCTGAAATATAATAAGGTATCTTAAGGCTCAATTTATATTGCGGCGGAACGGAATGCAAGCGAATTTTTGTAACGATATTGTAATAGCATAATAAACTATATGGTCAATTGTGTAAAGTACAAACTAAATACAAGCCAAAATTTTCCATGGAATTCTCGCACATGCCCGAGAATGCTTGCGCCTTTGAGCCTGAGAGTCGTATTCTAGAACTCTACTCAATGCTCCAGTCAGGATTGCACTGGAAACATAAGCACTGGAAATACGACCCTTATGGCAGGGACTTGAGTATGATTTCGAGTGCTTTAAACCATACTCAATGCTCAAGTCAGGATTGCACTGGAAATACGACCCTAGTGGCAGGGACTCGAGTATGATTTCGAGTGGTTTAAACCATACTCAAATCCTGACTTGAGCATTGAGTAGAGTTCTAGAATACGACTCTTAGACACCTAATTTCAGAAGAGTTTTATTTCAGTCCTGGGGGCCTACAACAACATTACTTTAAGCTTACATTAACTTTTCGTACCATGATGCGCTTAAAGTAAGCCTATCATAATGTTAAAACTATGATGTTTTATTGGCAGCTTTGTGACTATTCATTCACTCAGTTCGTATGACGCGATTGTTCATATGTCAAATTTACCAATCCTAAAATGGGTAGTTACTCGGACACATTGGAAACAATATTATTTTCGAATTTATTGTCTAACTAAATATTGATATGTAATGATTAAAAGTTAAGTTGAACTTATTTATTTACATAAATCTCTTCAATCATTTTTTTTATTTTTTATTTAATAGCACATAGGAAACCATTTCTCGTTAAAAAAAAAATACGCGATGTTTATTTCGTAAAATTATGACAGCGACATCTATATGCTCCTTGCCGACAGTTGACACTATCGACTTGCAGCAGTTGACACTAGACTACAATTCCGAATTCACAACGTGGCTATCAAGACTCAGCTTGTTTTATTTATTTTTCTTCATGAAAATACGGAAAAATAATTGAAAATAACGTAATGTTAATAGATTTTATTATTACATACTTTTCTTTTTTTAATAGTTAAAATTCTCAAAAAAAATTGAATGTGAATAACATTAATTAGTACTTAAACATTATACTACGATAATACGATTCGCAACATCACAAAAGAAAGAGTTGGCATCATATAGTTCATATAGCGTCATTTCTTTCCTATTTTTAGTAAGGAATATACAGTATTGGGAAATCATTCGCTCTTTGAATCACTTTAGCAATAATACATTACTTGGTTGACAGATTTGTCATCAGTGAGCATAAATAATTACGAATAAGCTTACTTTAAGCTTACTTTAAGCTTACATTGAAATAAGATTGTTTTTGGAAAGGTTATGGTAGGCCCCCTTTGTCATTTGTTCTTGTTACAAAAGGGGTACAATTGACCAGAAAGTTCATTACGCTATGTACAGTCGCGTTCAATGAAATGTGTACGTCCACTTATTTTGAAAAATATGTAAACATTAGATATTTCAAAAATATGTAACTTTGTGCTGTTTTCAAAAATACGTAATCACAACACCGTTTTACAAATTGTATTCTTTTATTTCAAAGAAAAGTAAACAAACTACAACCTGTGAAAAGTATACACTCTACTGAAAAGTATCACTGGTATTTAACACCATATGTACCCATATCATTTTCATAAATATTTATACAATGCATTTGCATTAAAATGTAAACAATTAGGATGGTCATTTTATCATAAATATGTATCCACTTTTAAAACTACGAAATTTGTTAGATTTTAGTAATATTTGCATCGTCTTCAAAAATATGTATACACGATGTAGTTGCAATATAATTTAAAGGTACTCGCCGGTTGCAAACTTTCTGTGCGTATTTTGCTAGCTCGAGCGGCAACAATGTTAGTGTTATTCGGTTAAACTACCGTCAATTTTTTTGGCGACAATCATAAGTGAACGGTACACTATATCCATTTGTCTATGTGGTGCAGCGCAAGTGACATAAGTATTTTACGAGTTATCGAAATAAATTAATTACGGACACGATGCGTTAGTGTGAGGCCAGACGAGAGTAATTTTGTGAGTTGTGAGTTGCACACTTTGCGCTGCATTCGGTTTCATATAAAAGTACAGTAGTAGTAGAGTAGATTTTTTACTTTTCTTTGAAATAAAAGTATACAATTTTTAAAACGATGTCGTGATTACATATTTTGACAACAGCACAAGGTTACATATTTTTGAAATATCTAATGTTTACATATTTTCGACAATAAGTGAACGTATACATTTCATTGCACGCGACTGTACAATATCGTTACAAAAATTCGCATGCATTCCGTTCCGCCGCAATATAAATTGAGCCTATGTAATGTTATTTATTTTATCTTGTAGTAGTATTGTTGTTATTTGTTGTATGTGTAACTAATAATACAAAGTTAAAGACGAATTGCAATCTTATACTTTTGTAATTTAGATAGGTACTTATTTAGTGCAACCTATCGTCGCAATCATTGATTGGCATAGGTGACTTTTTATATCCTACAGCCGGTAACGCCTTTGCGATATTATAAGCATTTTATAGTCTTTTTTATCTTAATTATAGCAAATATCTGTAAGAGCGGCATTTTCCATCGTGTGGACTATACGGACGACTCTGGCGGATTCTAAACGGGAAGCTCTATCACCGGTATTTTTTTCTAAAATGTTGAGTTCGTAATCGTATTTGTAAATGCAATTGCATCATATTTCACACTTTACATGTCATATTTCACTTTACATTGAATAAATTCCAGCGGAACTCCTTCATTGATCAATAATCCATGTAGCTTTAAATCGGATGATCTGTAGGAATATTAATGTCCTGCGTTACTATTATAACTACGTGTCATGGTATAGCATAACATTCCTATGACGAGTGGCTTATGTCACCCTCTGATATGTTCTATGAAATCGACCGCTCCCCTTAGCTCGTTGTAAACAATAGAGGTGTTTCTTTCTTATACATTCTTACATTCTATTTGAAGAAAATGTAAGAAATTATTTTTCTCTTACATTCTTGATGGCATGTTCCCTCCTCGAACCTTCAAGATGTAAAACAGGCTCCCTCCTGAAATTTTTCCTTTACGCTATGCTACAACGAGTAAAACGAGCTTTCTAACGCTCCGGCAATTCCTAAGGTGTAGCAAATGTTCATGGCCGACGGTGCCCACCTCCCATTAAGATGGCTTTTTTTGTGATATCAAGTGACGGAACAAACAAGTCCTGGTGGTAAGCGACACGCCTATCCATGACAACTGCAGTGCCACTAAGAGTTTTACATTGAAAAGATGGGCATTGCCATTTGGCCCGTCACCCTGAGACATAAGTTGACAAGTATCATGTGCCTGTGATTTCACCAGCACCCTTACCCTTCAAAACCGGAATGCAGTAATGCTCATATTACTGCTTGGCAGCAAGAATAGGTAAGGTGGGTGGCAGTACTTGCTTGGACGAACTTCACAAGGAGCTCTACTGATAGTTCTTCAAATTCTTCCTCATTTTTCGAACATGACGACATCTTTTTTTAAATGATGCCACTGATAAAATTTTCGTATTTTTTATATAATATCAAGTGACGGGACGAACAAGTCGTGCGCGTATAAGTTTACAATACGCCTTCTACTGCTACCAGAATATATATCGAATATACTCATACATTACAAGGGTATTCCTACGAATACCCTTGTAATGTATGAGTATATTGGACTAGTAGTGTTTTTCATACTAGACTGATAAGTTTCGTGAAACAGGGCCTTGATATTTCACATAAAGTCCTAAAATATAATTTCCATAACAGTGTTAAGGCTTTCAAGTAAGTACCTAATCAATTTGATTGCTGAACCGTGCCACTAAAGTTATCATTGGTAGATGATCATTCAAGGCTGTAATATTTCATGTTTCCTCCAAGATCAAATAAGCTGCAGAAAAAATCTAATCATAAAACAATGGACCGACTCAGAAATAACTCGAACGACCTTAGCAATAGCGTTGCTATTATCTAGTTTTCAATTAGTACCAAACCAGTTAAGTGTTAGGTTGAAATAAAACCGTTACACCTGTGCATATTGACGTTTGTAAATAACAGTGAGTAAACGCAAAATAATTAATACGTTTGTTGGTTTCACTTGTTCGATTTTTAGCGACAAGCCGAATAGTCTACTAATGTTGAGGCCTAACGGCAAGTATTCAGTGTGTTGTGTAACATTATTATGGTATTGTTTACACACTGTGATATGTGTGAGAGCTGCGGGGCGTGACGTTTGGTGGAGGGGAGCGGATGCTGCGCAGGAGCAAGCAATGCTACCAACCTTTATAGACAAACGCGCGCGATCACGAGATGTCTCTCATCTTCCGTATCATCAGCTGGTGTGAGCACAAACGCGGCACGACCGCGGGCGACTAACAATCTTCTGAAACTTTTTGCGTAAGTACTTAAGTTACTTTTTATATAATTATTTTATAAGCAATTATATATTACGCCTCTGTTTTATGTCTTTCGTTTCTTTTATGTAGGCTTACGTTTCATATCAGTTGTTCTTATGTTAAGTTTTATGTCGTATTTGATAGTTGCTTTCTTGAACGCGTTGAGTCGACCAGGATCACCATATCATTTGAAAATTAGAACAGAATGTCTTCCGCTAAGCTGCCCTCGTAGCGAATAAAGTCACAACTATGCGTACTTTATACAGCAGTTGTGCCTTTTTTCGTTCTGAGGGCATTAACGGATACAAGATGTTCAAAAATGCACCAAGTGCGGCAAAGATAAAGGTTTCAACGAACAATTTAATTAATGGTCACATCACGAAGTCGGCTCGGTCACATGTTCGGAGGCACCAACATAGCACGACGAATGCCTCAGTCGAGTCAGGCGCGCCCGCTGCGCTGCACGTGTGTTACCGGATTTACCGCATCACAAAACACGATCACTGGTTCGTTAACATTTACTTCTTACAACTCACTTTAAATTCTTTACTAACGTCTTTTAAATACGCCTAGAATTAATGGTAAATTTCGTAGGTATTGATAAAGAAATTCTTTGAACTTCACAACTTAAGTAACTCTGTGCTGAATCGTAATGCTTATTCGTCGAAATTAACGCCGGTAATGAGCTTAACAAGGCATTAGTGTTTCAAGCTAATTATCTTTACTTCTGCATCCGTCGTCTCGCTCTCTTACCTACACATCCGCGGCAATAGTTTTTGGGGTGCATTCTGTGCGTTTTGACGCGCTAGTGAAGTGATAGATCCGCGTCAGTGGTTTTACTACTTTTGAGTGGTTTATAAATTAAAGCGATTACCGAATCAGAGTCTATAGGTGTTATTTGATTTTCAATTTAGTTGTTGCGATCCGCGTGTATTTTATTAGGTACTTATAGTTTGTTGCAAAACTGAAACTTATTTAAATTTGCGTACTTACTATTTCCCATTTGAGTAGTGCATTTGTAAAGTTTCTAACATCCCTGACCTGTTTTTCCATTCGTGATCATGTGGACTGCACTTATAATCACAAGATATCTTAATAGTTATCCTTGCGTCACGTGTTATGAAGTGGAATCTATATAAGTATCTTAAGTAACGTCAACGCCAATCTATAAGGATCTCTTTTATCGTCTGCCACTCTGTACAAGGTGTTACAAAAAGTGAACTGAATTTTTTTATTTTTGTTCTGATTTTGTGGTATATTCTGTAGTTCTATTTATGTGAAAAATAGGAACAACGTCGTTTCACGTAATATGGCTACTTTTCGAAATGGACTTTATAAATATCTATCATTAGAATGGACTCTAAAAGTTTTATTGCAATTCCATCACCATCAGACACATCCGTCTGCTATATTTACCTCTCCAAAACGAAAGAATTTGACAGATTGACATGAACTTATGTGGTCATTTTCTATCGATTTATTGTTGTGGAATCGATATCGATACCTTCATATCGATTTTTTTTTATTAGATACAACACAGCAATTAGTACAATTATCACCTAATAAGTATTCATAGCATAGGCGAGACGCCCGCGGCGCGCGCGGCGATCTAAACCGCGCCATTGTTTGCACTAAAGACCTCCTTTTTAATAAATTTGCTCTTATCAGCAACAAGTACGTTCTTTTCCACCCAACCTTTGCTTGTTTTACTAATAATTTCTTACTCGTGCGAAAATCAACGGCACATCAAGCTACGCATTGACGTATCTTGTTCCGTTGCACTGGAGGCGATTTTCGAACAAAAATGTGTAGTCTAATGTGCTGTTGTCCGTACATTAAGTTTTTTTTTCATTATCTTCTATCGTTGTTTGCACTGTGCAATCAACGGCAACAGAATAAATAGTTATCATAAGAGAAAATATACCGCGAACGTACCAATGTACTTTTAAAACTTGCAATTGGTATACTTATGCGCTGTTTAGAGATAACAATAATAATTTTTTATTTGCCATAATAATAATACAATTATATTTTAAAAGTGCATCTATCACTACCGGCTTAATTTGTGCCCTTGGCCTTCCATTCTGCCTCCGTTCACGGCAGTTGCTTCTTCTGGTGTTTCTCTTTAGGTATTTGATAATGAAGATTTAGTTTTTTCTTACACTTACGCTGTATTCTAAACCGTTGAACAAGTTAATAGTATTGCCGAATGGCCTAAGTAATAAGTGCTTACGAGATTTTAAGACCTAAATTATGTAATCATTTCATACTCTACGAGTAAATAAAATAACGAAACACAACCAATATATATTATGTATATTTTGTTACCAATCGATGACAACGAACTCAAACGACTAAACAAACACTACAAAACAAAAAATAAAATACCAAAAAGATAAAATAGAAGTGGCCAAGTACCGTATAAATTTTAACCAATCTTTTTTTTAAAGGTTTATTGCCCGGTTGCATGACCTTTAGGCCAATTTAACCTATCGGGAGGCTGTAGAGCGTTTGAGCAGCTCATATTATTTGATATTTTAATTAGTAAATATACAACGTTCTTTTTTTTGAAACTCTTTATAGTTGTGTGTACCTACTCTGTTGAGTAATTTTGCAGGTCAGTAGCGAGTACCATAGACAATAGAATTTTGATTCAGAACTAAAAGAGCGCCTTTGTGATATAGTTTATGAAATTGTAATTGACATATTTTAACAGATTAAAGTACAGAAGTAGAAAATAGTAGATACATTCTCCTGTTCACTTCGATTGCGAGGAAATTAAACAGCAATATCACAAATAAACGATTATTTAATTAAATTTGAATGTAAAATTACAACAATTAGACATATTCAATGTGATGGCTTTTTTATTTTATGCACTAGAGCATAAAATCCTATTTTATGCAGCCTACACCCAGCTTAAAGTTCGTATTTATATACGAACTTTAAGAGCATGAGAAGTGAAAATTATATTTTACAATCTCATTCATTAATGAATGAACTAAAACTAAAACAATAACCGACAGTTTTAGTAGTTTTAGTACAACTTCATTATTCAACATTTCCGCTAAAAAATAAAACCAACTTTCTGAAACCTGTTCCAATGTCTAACCAAAATTATATTATGTTCTTAAATAATCTTCCACTTTAGATAACACGTATCTAACTCAAGATAAAGTTTTTCTCCAAAATGTTTATAGATAATAAATTCAAACGTATTTTCTCTTACATACGTAGTTGAAAACCTTGTATGTAACATAACGCTTGTTAATGTAATGTTTTGTGTTCATAAAGTTTTAGTTGGCACATCACGAAATTTGTAAATATTCGAAGAAAGTACAAGTTTTTATTTTTAAAGGGTTTTGTATTTTTTAGGACCGTTTCCCATACTCTATTTCCACTTTTGTTGTCATCCACGAACAGCATCTCCTAAATTACGACATTGTCTCTTATGTTCATTCACTTGTTTCCGAAGTTACTTTTTTTTTTTGAGATACTAAGAAGTAACGGGACGCGCTAAGTGCGTTTGTGGTAAGCGATACGCCTGTCCACTCAGAACTTTAAATCGCAAAGATTTGAGGAACAATGCTAGTGTGCCCGTCACCCTGAGACATAAGTTGGCAAGTCCCATGTGCTACAGGCACATGGGATTTTACCAGCACCTCTTCAAAATGTGAAGGCGGTGATTTTTTTTAACGTACACACTCATAGGCCCGCACTAAGAAAATCCTGTATCGCGGGTGCCATGGACATACACGTAGACAACTATAAATTACACCCAAACTCACGAGAGAAATAAATGTAGGCCATACAAATATTTCTCCCGGCCCGGGAATGACACCCGGGACCCCTGCGTGGTAGACCAGTATGGTAAGCGTTCGACCACGGAGGCAATAGCAGATAATGCTCACATTATGCAGCAGAAATAGGTAAGGTGGCAGCACTGGGCGAAATCATTCACAGGGAGTTCTGGTATTCACACTATTGCCTGCTCGCGTTCTGAAATTGAGGAAATGGATTGTTTTTTAATCGACATCGGGACTTTGCCCACTTAGTATTCATTTATGTACGTACTCGATTTTCCGCACTACTTAAAAAAATCAGAAAATGTCGCGTTGTATGGCCTACATTTATTTCTATACATCGTAACATTTGGTTTTATGTTGAAAGTTATTGAAAACAATAAAATTGATATGAACGCGCCTAACACAAGCAGAACGCAGGCATGAAATCTTCAAATATCTTTCAAGTGCAAACATAGCATACTTCGCGGACATCGCTCTCTTTAATTTTATTTGCACATTTGGACTTTACTTAATTAGTTTACGCAACATAAGTGTACAAGCAGATTTCAATTACATCGTGTCCTTACTAACTCGTTGCCCATTGCAAACATGTTCTACAAATTACACCATGTAACACGATTTTTGTTTCTGGGTCGCCAATATCATTTTCTAATTGGTTCTATCATAAAAAAATGAGAAAACTTTATTACCCTGCAAAAGCTTTGCTTAAAATTTTCGGATTTAGCAGGTATATATTAATTTTAACTAGAGTTTCTTGCTCATTTTTCTCAGCCAGGGGAATCTGTCTTACGAATGAGAGAGTTTAATCAGTATGACGATTTCAAGTGTAATTTGTTTATCTATAAAATATTTATTATTTGACTCTAACTTTACTACATTATGAATATAGCAAATCAATAGTACTTACCTATATTTCAACCGAAATTCTATAAATTGATGCCAAAATATCTTTAAATATAAAGATTTCAGAGTTTGTTAAAAAAAATTAAAGGTTTTATTCTTCAAGACAAAACACACTACATGTATAAACCAATTGATCATAGCTATGTCGAAGAAAGGCTACACCCTCAGCAATTTGCTAGTCTTCAGGCATCACTTGGGAAATACCATAGCATTTAGAGACGGGTATCATTTGTATTAAATATTTATATATAAGAGGGCGTGTATGTAGCTATGTAAATAGGCAGCTCTGGTAATACCACAGTGACAGCCTCAAAAGCAAAGTTACAGGGGGTATAGCTACTCTTTTCTACTTGCTGTTCAATTCTGTTGAGAAACCTTCTTAAAAGTTTGTTACATTTATTTATTAGCACAGCTACAGAATACAAATTAATATTGCTAATACAAATTAATACTGTTAAATTAAATAGAAAATAAATCTGCATTCCACTAACACCTATGCACAGCATTATCATATTATTGAACACAGCCAAAAAATAATTTACAAATACAATGCAATAATATATGACCGGAGGGGTAACCTATCATAAACTCGAAAATTTTTTGTCCGAAATAAGATTTGTTCGAATTTTCACTACACCGAAAACCGAATTATAACGAAATAGTTGTTCTGTCAGGATTTGTTAAATGTTTATCCCAAAGACACGATTAGGTTCGTTAGGTTAGGTTAAGTTAGGTTTAAAAGAAAAAACATTTTCCTCTCAAAATTACTTTCGAGGTTGTAAAATTTGACCAAACGT